ATATCATTGGTGCACAACTTTTTATAGCTTCGTGGGATTGTGATTTTTAATTTGGCTACCTTGAGGTGGGAATAACTATATTTATGTCTGGATGATTCTACTTGCTTTATTTGTTTTAACTGACTGAAGTGGTGAACCGTGGCGTACTTATATTCTTCCTCGCTGCTGTAGCTAGGAGGTATTCGTCGTTTGTCTTTGTCGTGTTGGTTTTATGTCACCTACATCCTCAAGTCACATGTTAGCTAGTGTTTTTTCGCGTCAGAATCGATGTTAATGCAGCTATTGCCTATCATATCCCGTCATAGTTATCCTCTAGGAATCATATATGTCAGATTCTCTTAACCACGTCTAAACACTCGTAGTTAGCTGATGCCCCGATATCCCCCTCCTCGGTGAGTACCCGCTCGTTCTGCTGAATGCTGGATGCCATTGTTGAGATTTTGAATTGATACGTCACTTCTAAGATGGTTGGATTACAGTCCCCTTGGCACTCATTTGAGCGGGACTTCGTTGCTTCCGGTCAAGCTTCCAATTCCTAAGGAGTATTCGTCCAACATCCCTAGAGAACATTGGTTCACGGATAATGATCTGCTGAATTTCTGTTCGGACATGAACCTCCCCCTTGTTTGTATCATTGACCTTACATACACGGACTACTACGACCCCAAGGTATTTTGGCTAGTTTTTATAAAAGCCTAGCTCTTTATAGACCGCGGTGTCAAATACGTCAAAGTTTACGTCGAAGGCCATTTGATCCCCAACCCCACCACAGTAAAGAGGTATTTGTTGTTAAACATTTCAATTCCTTCCTTCAGGTTCATGGAAATTTTAAGAAGTGTCACCGAGGACTTCCCAGGTACAATGACTATGTCTAAGCGCTCATACGTAGGTGGTACCATCGCCGTCCATTGCACACATGGAGTCAACCGAACAGGTTACTTAATCTGCCGCTACCTCATTGACGTACTTGGGTGGTCTGCTGACGAAGCTATTGAAGGTACTCTGTGGCTTGCGTGGTTAATTATGCACTGCTGTATATCGGTAAGGTTTTTGTGAGTTGAGTCTTCTTCAATCCCAGTTCAACACCTCTTGGTGGTTTTGCCGTTTCAGAGTTTGCACGCGCACGTGGACACGCGATAGAGCGGAGGAACTATGTGAACGATCTTCGACATCGCTAGTGCTGAGTCAGCCCTTCCTTTTTGCAATATGAAGTATCACCTCTGCGACTGTGCTTTTGTCCATGAAGCCAACGCCCAATTTTTCAAAACAAACAAGACTAGTTTCGAGCCTGGTGTATTGAAGAGTAATCAATTGCAAATGGTAAACAGGACGTCGAGTATTTATTTTCGGGTCAAGACGTTTTTCTTTGACGCGGTGAAGAGCCATTTGCTAAAAAAAGGGGACAAGTTCGGCTTCGTGCACCTCTGACTCGATTTTTCCTTTGGCGAAATCGTGAGTCTAGTCTAGAGGAGAGAAATAGTGAGCACTCTAGTGAATGAACCACTGAGGGTATAGCGCATTGGTCCCATCTCAAGCGAGTTTGATCGCAAATGAAGTAGTTACCTGGATGCGTTTCACCTGCTCTCTATCAACCGTTTGCATGTCAAAAATTGGTGACTTCGGAGGTTCGCTGCAGTTACATG